TGCTAGATGAATGGATTTTTCCTGTGAGCTATAGTTTTCTGGCCTTGTGAATATGTTTTCTTTTCATTTCTCTCAGTAATGTCACGTAAGGTTTTGTGTCATGGACTTACACATCTACTGTTAGAGTTACACATCTACTGTCATGCCTAGCTCCTAAGTTTTCTAGTTCTCTCTTCAGCTGTGCCTATTCTGCTGTTAAAACCTTCCACTGAGGCAGTAGGATTTCCTGAGGACAGGAGTTCAAGACCAACTTGGGCAAAACAGTGAGACCCTTGTCTCCAAAACAAAACCAAAAACCTTCCAGTGAATTCTTAGTTTTCATAATTGGATTTTAAAAATATTCTTGCATTTTCCCCCCACTGTCTCCCATGTCCAGGTGTCTGCTGAAATTCTCAAACTTGTATAGCTCTTTCAACATAGTAAGCAGTTCATTTTAAAGTCTGTCTGATAGCTCCGACATCTTTAGCCACTATGGGCCTGTTTCCATTGTCTATATTGTTTTGCTAAATTTCTTTTCTCATGTGCCTGGTTATATTTTGTTGTCAGGATACTGTATTAGCTAAATTGTTTGTAGAAATAATATGATGATATCTTCCTCTAGAGAGGGTTTTAGTTTGCTTACACCAAGGTGAAAGGGGCAGCCTTGCAAAGACAACAGGAAAATACCCAATCCTACAATTTCCCCAGTAACAGTTAAAGATCAGTCCTATGAGTTGTCCCACTAACAGGCACCCTGTAGTTCTGCTTTGCACAACTTCTGAAAGGAGCCGAATGGGCAAAAAAGAGATACAGATCTCTCTTTCAAAATTGTTTTTTGAGAATCTGCTTTTACAGAGTTCCTGAGTAAACTGGAGAACAAGCGACAGCCTCAAGCATATCTCGAGGACAGAGTCACATCTGTGATAATCAGGACAGAGTCATTATCTGTGATAATCCCTTCTCCAAGGAAAGGCAGGAAACCAGGTCTCATGGACTTTGACATCCTAGCAGTTTTTGTAATCTATCTGCCGCCAAGAAGAAAGGAAGGAGCAGGTGCAGCGAATTCTCAACTACACCCTGCCATTTTCACAACCCCCTTTAAAAACTCCCCGATAGCGGGACAGCTGATTTTTGGAGCCAGCACATTCTTCCGTTTCCATCTCTGTACTGGTCCTTTTCCCTAACCCCAGGGAAAAGTAAACAAACCTTTTCTATCCTCATCTGTCTGAGGAAATTTTTCTCAAAACCAGCGTGCACTGGCATTGCCACCCTAACACAAGGTTTTGGGGAAACCTCCACTCTGGGATCACCTTAATCTAATTTCAAGAATTGGAAATACATAATTGGAAGCTGAGCTGCAATCTCCAAAGAGCCTATTTCCTACTTCCAGCTCACCCTTATTCCTGGGGTGCAAAAGACTGAGGGCTTGCACCCAAAGTGAGGGATACCACCAAGTCTACTACCCTTTGCCAGGCCCTGTCCCCTACTTTTGACAGGCTGTCAAAATAACTGATCAGCCTCTCAGATGCCTCCAAATTTGGCAAATGTCCCCAGGAGGACAGTGGCCCCTAACATGTATTTTTTTTTTTGTTGTTGCCCGGGCTAGAGTGCTGTGGCATCAGCCTAGCTCACAGCAACCTCAAATTCCTGGGCTCAAGCAATCCTGCCTCAGCCACCTGAGTAGCTGGGACTACAGGCACGTGCCACCATGTCCTGCTAATTTTTTCTATATATTTTTAGTTGGCCAATTAATTTCTATTTTTTTTAGTAGAGAAGGGGTCTTGCCTCTTGCTCAGGCAGGTTTAGAACTCCTGACCTTGAGCGATCCTCCCAACTTTGCCTCCCAGAGTGCTAGGATTACAGGTGTGAGCCACCGCTCCCAGCCCTCTAACATATAGTTCTCTGATGCCTTCACACAGATGCCTTAACTCTGATGCCTTAACATATTTTGTCCACCCTTTTTTGTTGCCCTCTGTGAGATGGCCAGTCCAAATGACCTACCCACCATCACCAGGAACAGAACTCATTGGTTATATAGCAGTTACTTGAGTAGCATCATACATGACATGCTAATATGTACAATGTCAGTACACCATCATCCATCTTTGTTTCTGTGTTAAAAAAAAAAAAAAGGCCGGGCGCGGTGGCTCACGCCTGTAATCCTAGCACTCTGGGAGGCCGAGGCGGGTGGATTGCTCAAGGTCAGGAGTTCAAAACCAGCCTGAGCGAGACCCCGTCTCTACCATAAAAATAGAAAGAAATTAATTGGCCAACTAAATATATATTATATATATATATATATATAAATCAGGCAGGCATGGTGGCTTGTCCTGTAGTCCCAGCTACTTGGGAGGCTGAGGCAGGAGGATCGCTTGAGCCCAGGAGTTTGAGGTTGCTGTGAGCTAGGCTGACGCCACGGCACTCACTCTAGCCTAGGCAAGAAAGCGAGACTCTGTCTCAAAAAAAAAAAAAAAAAAGACATTTTTTGTAGAAATTTTGTAGAAATCTACAATTTTGTAGAAAAAATTAGGCATTGGCAAAATCAATTACCCTCCCTAATAAAAACTGCAGGTTTCTATACTCCTAGCAGCAAGCCCTGGTTACTTACCTATTATGTGTGAGGGGAATGAACAAATGACATTTGCATTTTACAGCAGACTAGTTAATTAGTTGACAGAACTCAAGCTAAACCCTAAGGTTCCAGTTTCAGCTCTCTTCTGCTTTTTCAAATTACATATTCTTCACAAGGACATGGAGCAATCTAATTTCCACTGTTTAAATGTCTTTATTTTATTCAAATCAAACTGGAAAGGCAGAATAGCAACTTGATATTTTTGGCTACTTGGGCAAAAATGTTTGGCAATTCTCAAAAAAGAAAATACAAAAAATGACCAATAAAGTATATAAAAATTTCATTAGAAATAAAAAATGCAAATTAAAACAATGAGGTACCGTATTTTCTATTAAAGTGGCAATTTTTTTTGTTGTTCTGGTTTTTCAGGTATTCATTCATAGTAACAGCAAAAAAAATTTTTAAATAAATACCCAGTGTTAGTAAGGGTTCAGAGAAACAAATGGTCTTTTACACTGCCGGAGGAGGGTCAATTAGCACAGCTTTTTGAGGACTATGTGTCAATACAGCAAAGCTGTGAAAATGTGCATACCCTGTAATTCCACATCTAATGATGTAGGCCAAGGAAATAATTAAAAACGTGGATACAGATTTAACTATAAGGTTGCACGGTATATCATTGTTCATAAGAAACCAGAGACAACCTAATAGTGCATTGTTTAAATAAATTATAGTACAGTGATACAATGGAATACTAATAACAATGGTATACACAGATGGGTATCTACTGACATAAGATTTCACCCTATTTTGTTAAATAAAGAAGCATGTTAAGAGTACAGTATGATCTGGTATTTGTTTTAAAAAACCATACGTGTGTATATACATACACATAGAAAAACACGGAAGGGTATGAGAAGGGTATGTACCACATTAGCATTGGAAATCTCTAGACGGTGAAAGTATAAATAGTTAAAAACAATTTATACCCATTTTTGAATCTAAACATGTACTATTTCTATGATTTTAGAAAAAGAAAAAGTTAAAGCCTAATTTTAAAAAATGCTTAGCTTAGGTTTCGGCTTGTGATGTGAGGGGCCATGTGGCCCTAGAGGCATCTACTTGGTTTTGTTCCTCCTAACCTGAGTGGATGATTCTCAAGTTGTTTTTTTCTGCAAATACCATCATCATATACAACTGACTGTTTGGAAAACAGTTCCCTCATTTTCTACTACAGCTTGTTCACGTTGACTGGGGAAGAAAGTCACCTTTCTACGGGAATAGGTTGACTGAAAACTATGCCCAAGGCCTGCACTTTAATGAGGAGCCCTTAGACAGTTTTTGGGTAAAGGAAAATAGATGCAAAGAAAAGGACTTCATATGATAAGGTCTCTATTTAGTCCTTATTTCAATTTTAGGCCTCCTGAATCTGAGAGGTAGGGATAACGAGAAGATACTGGAAATCTGGTTATACAGATTCCTTCTAAGATGGTGAGTCCCTTCAGAAGAGAAACGACAGAATAATTGGAAATCATGATGAAAGCTTAGATAAGCTTAGTTATATCAAACTGTTAGAGCAACCCCACAGCTATAGAAATAGAGGCATTTGGATGCACAGTTTATATTCTAGGTTGGTAGAGGTTCCAACTAAACCAAAAACTCTATGAGGACCATGCCTAATAGGTTCAGTAAATGAAGACAGTACCCATTAAAGAAGTCTTCCTAAGAACAAAGGAAGAATGCCATCTGTCCAGATGAGACAAACCTATAATCTCCCATATCATCTGGCAAAGGTTTTATCCCTCACATATCCTTCACCCTTCACTCTGATTCCAAGAGAGCCTGGGTAAACAGCTAGGGCTGAGTTTTCCTTGAGTGGCTGCCAGATGGGGCTGAAAATCTGATTCTCAGCTTATAGGCTGTAGCAATGAGAAGCTAACACAAAAAGAAGCCACATCAAGATTTGAAGGGAAGAGGGACCACATTCATCTTCACAGTAGAATGTCATCATCAACCTAGAGCAGAGGCTCTCAGACATGGTGTTAGAGACGTGTCCAAAGTAATCTGTTTCTGATCAGTGGTTTAAATATCCAAGTTTGTAAATGCTTTCCTTTTAGAAAAAAACTGTAGATAACAAGGTTATACATCAAAGTCACTCTCACATATCTGTATGCATTCCTGAATGAGAGAGAAAAAGGTAGAGTCTAACTATCAGCAATATGAACATCTTTTGTCATGGCTAAGAGGTTGAATATTGTGCTTCTAGAGCAAAAATAAGGGAGGCCCTGGGTAAAAGAGAGCCTAGGCAGAGGCTAAGGATGAGACTAGATTTGTGGAGGCACTACAGTATCCCAAAACCGGGGAGAAAAGGAGTTAGGAAATGTTGTGATGCAAAAGGAACTAAACAAGAGGCATGGACTTGAAGTTTAAGGAAGCAGGATAGACCCTCTGCATGAAAGGTGGACATGTTGGTATTCATTATTTATATCAACACAGAGATGAAGGCAGAAGAACAGTTATACCAGGTTAAATGCCAGTTCTTGTGGGGAGTAGCTTTATACTGGGGGTGGAGCCGAATCCCCTTCCCCTCAGTTACTCGTGGGAAACCCGTTCCAAGGCCACATAGAAACTGTTCTTGTCATCTAGGCAATGCCAGCCAATGGGTCCAATTTCACAGTCTGCACAGACCAGAAACTTGATGTTGCCCACGTCCTTGGTGAAGCCCACATTCTCAAAGATGAACATGTCATTCACCAGCCAGTGTTCCTGGAGGAGATCACCATCGGGATTGCTGCCATCAGCCAGCGCCGGCTTCTTTCTCATGGAGGGAAGGAAAAGCTGCAGTGGAAGAGAACACAGAGAACGTCACAGGTGAACTGGCCCAGTCACCTCATCACCCCCATCGCACCTACCCTTCACACCACTCACTAGCCGGAACAACAACAACCATAAATTGCAAAAAAGGGCAGCCATCTCATTAAGTTGCAGACCAGGATTCTTAACACATTTAGTACCACATAGAAATCGCTAAGACATATGCCAGGGACCGCATGCTTTTGGGCACGCTTTTATTTAAATCATCATAACTACATATCATAATGCACTTTAGGTGTTGTTTTTCAATAATTATAACATTTTTATTTACAAAAACAATTAAACAACTAATTAAACAATTAAAGTTCCTAGTACTTTTTTAACGTATGGTACTGCATAAAACATTGTCCTCTATGAAGAGGGACCAAACAAAATTTATGTAAGTATCTAGATTCACTCCTTTTTCCATGGGCGGCACAAGCTCTATAGGCTCTCGTAGGAAATTTTTTCTTTCCACTCGCTGGAATACATGTAGGTTCATGCTGCTTCATTTCACCTGACAACCTTTTGGGTGGATCTTTACGGGGTGCTCTCCTTGCACCCCCAGGGGAAGGGCTGGACAGATTTGTCTCCAGTTCTGAAGAGCATTCATTATTGTCATCCCTTATCCAGTCTCTTGCCATTGATAGCAGAAACTATTCACACTTCATTTTTCTTGTGGATTGAGGACATTGTACACTCTAAATGAATTGAAAACTCCACAGTTTGTAAGGTACAGCACTACTTTTTTTGTCCATTTCATCGTTTTCCTTAGAATGGAACAACACGAAAGGAATTGATCCACACGGTCAACGCCTTTCATGTGGGCATTGTATTCCTTGATGCAGGTAGGTTTTACAATGTTCTCTCCCATTTTTCTATTATTATTTTTTTCCTGTTGTCGAGACAGAAGTGTCATGGGTCGTTGATATCATTCAGACAACCCGCTTGTCTTTCCATGCTAGGAGAAGAATATCGCCTTTTCTGGAAAATACTATGTCACCTTTCTTCATTCTTGATGTTTCATTTGCAAATTTGACGGTAAACCTCTACTCTCCGTAATGGACAGGACAGTGTGTTGACATATAAGGTCCATAACAGACGGCGCATGAAACACAAGAAAACTCGTGAGCGGTAAGAAAGGTGTTAAGAGACATGAAAGAGGAGCATCAGTTGGGCACTGTCCTTACCATGGACCCTACATGGTCCTAGTCTCCTTTCTGGCTCCTCATGCTTCAAACACACTGGGCTCTTCCCTTCCGCAAACAGTATGAGTCTGCTCTGCACTCAGATCTTGGTCTGGCCAGCTCCTTCCTGGTATTCAGCTCAAATGTAACCTTCTTAGGTCTTCTCTAACCAAACAATCTGAATTAGCTTTCCTTATTTGCCCACTGTATTTTTTAAAAAGAGCATTATTGAGGTATAACTGACATATGAACTGCACATATTTAAAGTGTATAGTTTGATAAACTTTGGCACATGTAACAAGATAATGAACATGTAACAGAAGTAAGGGTCTGAAAAAGGGCAAAATGTTTTACGAGTTGTCTCTTTAAAACCCCTCACCCTTTTTGAGGAATTAAAACCTGGATTCCTGCCTGAGAACAGTAATAGAGAGGCAGAGGAGTGTTCTCTACTCTCTAGTACCTTAATTATCCCAACAGAGGTCAGGAGATCATCTTCAGATGATCAGAGATGCTATAGTTAAACAGCAATAGCATCACGTTGAAAACCTCCTTTCAAAACCCTGTATTTTTGTTTATGGGGGGGGGATGATGGTTCTTTAAGATGAGGGTCTACCATCCTCCTCATTTGCCAGCAAATTAATAAACTTCTGTTTCTTTTTCCCTCTTTGTTCAGCCTCAGAGACAAGTGCCAAACTTTTGGTAACAAACATACTCATCACCTCTAGAAGTTTATTCATGCCACTCCCACTTGTTTACTTATCATTTATTTTCCGAAATTATCTTATTAATTTATTGGCCTACTTACTTATCATGTGTCTCCCTCCACTAGAATATCAGCTCCTGGAAAGCAGTGAACTTACCCTCCTTGTTCGTTACTATATGTCTAGTGCTTTGAATAGTGACTGGTACAGGGCAGGAACTCAAATATTCATTAAAAGAATGAACAGAGGATATCTGGATTTGATCTATTCCATCATTATTATGAATATACTGGATTCATCTTATCAAAATGAAAATCTAGTTCTACAATCTGGAATATTATCCCCAGGACCCTTGCACAGTCCAATCTGTTTGATTTCCCAATCATTAAGAGAAAGCCTCTGGCATGCACGCATGCACGCGTGCACGCGTGCACACACCCACACACACACGCGCGCGCACGCGCACACTTGCTTTCATTTCTTCCATATGGGTAGTGTACACACTTTTACTTGTCCCAGACTACTACAAAATACAATGCCAGCAAAGCTTGTTACTCCTCTGCTGCTCATCATGGCTGCTGTCATACCACTTATTCCTCACCTCACTTCTTTTTGTTTTGTTTTAAAGACAGGGGCTCACTCTGTTGCCCAGGCTGGATTGCAGTGGCACAATCGGTCAATAGCTCACAGCAACCTCAAACTCTTGGCTCAAGTGATCCTCCAGCCTCAGCCTCCTGAGTAGCTGGGACTGCAGGCATGTGCCACCACGCCCAGCTAATTTTTTTTCCCCCCAAGACGGGGGTCCTGCCATACTGCACCTGTAACAGGGGGAACAGCCTGAAAAAGGGTAAAATGTTTAAAACCTGCAACCCTGCCCAAGACCAGTAATCAGGGCAGGGGAGTGTTCTTTGTTTTTTTGTATCACAGGACAACTTATCCAGACAAAAAACTTCTTTATGTCTTTGTAAAAAGGGAAAAAAATTTAAAACACATAAAAAAACAAAAGAATTTCTAGGCCCCCTTCTAGAATAGAAGCCACTTTGTTAGTTAAGAAACAGAATGTATAATTTAATTTGCTCACACAATTTTTTGGCAAAATCAGTTTAAAATAATATCAAACAAGAATTAAGAATTTAAAAATAGTTCAAGATGATAGATATCCTAATTACCCTTATCTGATCACTATGTGTTCTATGTATTGAAACATCAAAAAGAAAATTTAAAAATAAACTATAAACTCCTGTACAGTCTCCTAATTTCTGCCAGTTCATAAAAGTAGACAAAACCTTGCCATGGGAAAGGAGTATGGGAATAACCTACACAAGGTTACTATACCTGTATCAGGTTAACTTGCACTAGGCACAGTGCTACACACTTTCACACAAATTCTTCCCTATATCATCATCTTCATTTTACAGAATGAGCAACCTGAAGCTCGTGGAGGTTAAATAACTCTTCCAATGTTAATGAATGATTAGGTCAGGACTCAGTTACATGTATGTTTGGTTCCAAGACCCACGTTCTCCCCACTGCTTCATAATGCCACTAATTTGGTAAAACAAATTGAGGACTCTACTCCCAATCCTTGGAAGTCTTATCAAGAGAACAGGTGGAGCTCCGCCAATCTCAAGGCTAAAAATCATCAGAACCCTCACAAAACAAGAAAGATACTTTTTTTCTTTTCTTCACCCCCTCTTTTAGGAAAAGCGCTCTGTTTTGGAGAAATGAGTGCTTCTTGCTCCTATATGGGGCATTACACTTCACCATCTGTTCAACCACACGAAATAAAATGATCTGTGTATTTTTAGAAATAATTTTGAGTGATAGGATAAGCACATGGTCGAAATGACATTATACTTAGCACTTTCCTGTCGGGGACGTTACACTTACAATAAAAGTTTACCAAAATAAAATTTTTCTCACTTGAGGTGATCGTGGTGGGAAAGAGCATTAAAATTCCTAAACTTGAAGAAAAAAAAAAAATTAAGTTTCCCTTCGAAATTTTTATTTCTATCCCACTTGAAATAGGATTCGTGTGGAAAACGTTGGCTTCCAGCGCCTCGGTCAAGAGTGCAGGTTACAGGAGTTATTATTTCGTCACGTCCCCTACACCGAAGTTGTTTTGGGGCTCCTCTGTGGGGCAGACAGGCGCCGGCCAAAACTGGGGCGGCGGATTCAGGAGGGTGGCTGGGGGTCTGGTGCGCGACAGTGGTCAAATGACACTCCCGCGCCCCGGGCAACGTCGCGGCGGCGGCGGAACGCACACCTGCCGGTGTCGCCGCGGGCTGGGGGCGCCTCCCGGCCACTCGCGCGCGGACCGGCGCCCAGGTAAGCGGCCCCGGACTACGGCCAGCGGACGCGCTGAGGAGAGCCGGCCCCACCCGCGCCGCGGCCGGCCTCGGGGGCGGAGCTTCGCCGAGCGCGCCCCGGGGGCGGGGCCTGACGGCCACGCAAGGAGGGGCGCGGTCTCCGGAGATGGAGGAGCCCGGACCCCGACTCCTGCCAACGCGGCCCCTCGGGGACCGCGCGCGGGTGTCAAGGGCCCCTCGCCTGCCTCCCTACCTGTCGGCGGGAGAAGAGAGCAGTCCCCGGCTGCAGCACCCGGGAGCCGCAACGCTGGCACAGCACCGCCTTCCGGTTCCGGCCCTCGGCTGACACCAGCTCGCTCAGCTGCTCCGATTGTTCCATCGCCGCTGCCGCCACAGCCTCCTCGGCCACGACCGCGCAGGCGCTGCCTCTGCTCGCTTTCTCCACTGCGCTGGCGCAGCCAGGCAGGGGCGGGGCGGCAGGACGGCCACGCCCTCTCCGCGCAGGCGTCCGCTGCCCCCGCTCTGGACTCCACTGCGCAAGCGCCTTCACTCTTTGCCTAACCTGAGCGGGTAGGTGTCGGCAGGCTTTGTGACAGGGTCACTCCCTGGCGCCACTGACAAATCTCCTTACCTACCTGGTCGCTAATGTTAAGACCTAAACAAATACGTCATTAAGGTTGACCTTACTGTTTAGTTTTCTGAGATTTGAATTTAGTTTCCTAAATGAATGGGGACATAACTGGGGGCAGTGTGAAGGGAATCTGGGTCGGACTCCCCATCAGCAAGTTGTGGCTACCTTAGCTTCCTCTATAAGGAAACTGCTATGAGCGGCATGAACCTTTTTGGTATTGGAAAAAGATGCCTGGAATGCTCTCTGTCCTGATCATGGTGACCATTTATGATGCAGCAAAACATTGTTTTGAAGCGCTTTTAGTAATTTATTAAATAGGCTGGGCGCAGTGGTGCACGCCTGTAATCCCAGCATTTAGGGGACATGAAGCTGGAGGAGTACCTGAGGCCAAGAGTTTAAGGTTGCAGTGAGCTATGATCGTGCCACTGCACTCCAGCCTGGGCAACAGAGCAAGACTCTGTCTCCTAGAAACCAAAGCCAAAACCTTACTAAATCATCAAAAAGGTAACTTTCCAGGACTCAGACATCCAGGTGCAGCTTAAAGCCACTGCTCTTAGTTATTGTAGTACTTAACTATATAGTATTTATATATGAACAAAGGTGAAAACAAGTTTAGGAATGGTTAGTAGACTAAATTTGTGGCTGAACCAGATTATGCCTGGGGAAAGAGGCAGTATTAGAGGTAGGTAGGTTAAGATCAGAAAGGTAAATCACAGCTGGGCACAGCGGCACATGCCTGTAGTCTTAGCTACTCTGATGTAGGCAGGATCCCTTGAGGTCGCAAGTTCAAGACCAGCCTGGGCAACATAGTGAGACCCTATTGCAAAAATAAAATAATTTTTGAAAAGTAGATCACCATAGGTCTAATGTCATGGTAAGGAATTTGACATATCAGCGGCCTAACTGCTCAATATTTACTGAATATCTGCTGTCTGTTAATACTGTAATGATCTTCTGTTTGGTTCTCTGGGATAAAAAGAAAAAAAATAAAAAGTAATACTGTAATGATCCTATCTATGCTTTAGAAAGATAACTGAACAAAGTGGAGAGGCTAGATTAGAAGAAAGGAAAAAGAGTAGAGGTAAGGATATCCGGAGGCTCATGAGGCTCATGTACCTCATGAGTACAGCCAAGATAAAGGCTTGAATTATCTGGTAGCAGAAAGAATAAAGACAGGGGAATGGATTTGGAACAATTAAAGATAAAATTGTATAGAACTTAGAAACTAATTGGATGTATTAGTATTGTGATGGGGTGACACAGGTAAATGGTAGCTTTCCTAGAACAGAAGGGACCACTTAATTTGGTGCTTCCTATTCTCTATGTATGTGAACATACGGAAGTGTGTAAGATTGGGAAAAGAGTGAAGAGCGAGCTATGAGTGTAACATGTTAACTTTTCTGCAGAATATTCAGTTGTGGCTGCAGTATAGGAATTGTGAATTTGGTCTGAAACTTGGAAGTCAGCACTGAAGACAGCCTTAGGAACCATCAGCCCTTTATCCCTACTTCTTCACCTCTCCATCAACTTCCCGTGTCTCTTCCTGAAACAGAATGAGCACATTTCATAGGCTGTGGTTTAATTAGCAGACATCTACTAAAGAAAGGTTGGCAGGGACCTTTAGTGCAAATAACTTCCTCTTGTGGTTCCTGCTTCCTTTTGCTCTGGGAGCATCAGGATTTTTGCAATTCTGCAAGCCTTCTGCATAGCTGTTTATTTAATGTGCCGTAAATTGAAGCAAATCGAAAAGGGACTGGGGGTGACTGAAACTTTAAAATTCAAGTGAGTGCTAAATGAGCTCAAGATAGTCTTATTCTTCCCTTTGGTTTTTTTTTTTTTTTTTGAGACAGAGTCTCGCTTCGTTGTCCAGGCTAGAGTGAGTGCCGTGGCGTCAGCCTAGCTCACAGCAACCTCAAACTCCTGGGCTCCAGTGATCCTTCTGCCTCAGCCTCCCGAGTAGCTGGGACTACAGGCATGCGCCACCATGCCCGGCTAATTTTTTTTATATATATATCAGTTGGCCAATTAATTTCTTTCTATTTATAGTAGAGACGGGGTCTCGCTCTTGCTCAGGCTGGTTTTGAACTCCTGACCTTAAGCAATCCGCCCGCCTCGGCCTCCCAAGAGCTAGGATTACAGGCGTGAGCCACAGCGCCCGGCCTTCCCTTTGGTTTTTAAGTAACTACAGTGAGAGGGACCTATGAATATGACAAATTCAGGTAAATATTTTATTGATGAGAATCTCCATAGTGATAAATGTGGAGGCTAAAGTAACTCCATTTTGGATGTTAATGTGCTATGTTAACTTTGATTAACTCCAGTTCAGAGAATGCCTCTAAGATTTCCACTTTATCTACTGTTCCTTGTATAAGAGCACAGACATATTGTAAATCCTGTCCCTAGGTCAAAACGACCTTGATGGCCGGGCGCGGTGGCTCACGCCTTTAATCCTAGCACTCTGGGAGGCCGAGGCGGGCGGATTGCTCGAGGTTGGGAGTTCGAAACCATCCTGAGCGAGACCCCGTCTCTACTATAAATAGAAAGAAATTAATTGACCAACTAAAAAATATATATATACAAAAATTAGCCGGGCATGGTCTACTTGGGAGGCTGAGGCAGGAGGATCACTTGAGCCCAGGAGTTTGAGGTTGCTGTGAGCTAGGCTGACGCCACGGCACTCACTCTAGCCAGGGCAACAAAAATGAGAGTCTGTCTCAAAAAAAAACAACCTTGATGCTATCGTACAAATTACAGGCAATGATATATATAGCATAGTCTTTTCCTGGAAGGTTGACTTTGTCCTGCACATTCCTATAGAGCACATATACCTTTTCTTATACAAGCCCTGGGTCTGGGAAGTAACAGCATGGAGATCTACCTGTCTTGTGGATGCCTAAAACCATGCTACTGCCCATAAGTTCCCCAATAAAGCACTCTTCACCAACAAAGTGGATTTGTCTGCCTCATTCTTTATTTGGCTCCTTTTGCATTTGGGTACTTTGCATATATAGCCCTTTCACAAAACAGTAAGTGCCTACCTCTTACCTGTGTCTAACAGAGAAACAGCAGAAGTAGTTGGTAAACTCACAAGGTAAACATGTTGAAGAGACAGTATCTAAAGCGGATCCCTGTATCTTGTCCCTTAAAATGTCTGCTGAAGGCAGTGCTGGTTAGCCACAAATGCTCTTAAAGGCATTTGAGACAGTTGATTTTTAATATTTTCTTACAAAAATACAAAGAAAAATTAATTCTGTAGGTCAATACAATTCAGAGAAAGAGGCAAAAATGGAATTTCAGAACAAAGGGAAAGTGCATCCTTGTTTAGATTATCATATCCCCACTCCCAATACTCATAAAACAAGAATTTCACTCCATGACACAGACAAGCCTTGACTGGTAGCTCAGAAATGTTGATAGCTGAGGTACTGGAACTAACAAAAGAATTTTGGTTGTCATTGATTATTCTGTTCTGAGATGAGTAAAAGCCACTCTAAGGACAAGTAAGGGACTCTTATAGCAGGAAAAAGACTAAATGTACCAAACACAGCAGTAAAAAGCACTCCTTAGCAGAAGTGTGCCCTCAAAAGAATGGGGCAGTAATCAGGTAGCTGAACTACTAGGCTGCTGCCACCCCCAACCCATCCCCAAATAAATAATGTGGAAGTGTAACAGTAATAATGTAGTAGTATTTGATTCAACACAGAAAGTCTTTCACCCATTCAAAGCAAACGTTGCCATGGCTAGATGAGCCCCAGCAAGGAATAAGACGATTGTAAAATCACAGGTACTTCTAATTCATCCCCAGGTATACTGAACGCCCACATTTATGCCGTCTCCTCTTATCCCAACATTTGTTCACTGTCATTTTCTCAGTCTCCAGTGCCAAGATGCTCAACACTTTCCAAAGACCTTGGGGAAATAAAAAGTCCTTCAAATAATATACCTTTTTCAGTCTTCCAGGTTATACTTCAGTGGTGTTTTGAGGTTCACTCACATTCCATTAAATTCAGTTTACTTCACTTATTCCAACCCCAGTTCTGATATGCCAGCCCTGTCCCCCCCCTCCAAGGGAGTGTCATATGAATCTCTCCCTGGTCCCCAAAGTTTTGATAGGATTCTCTCTTTTGTTTTCCTCCAGAATGCAACTGTGTTGCCCCTACCTACCTGTAGATTAGAATATTTGTTCCTAGGGAAAAAAAACACTTGGATTTTACCAAACTTACTCAAGTTGGTGTCCTTCTAATTATCTAGCCTGGATATTGCCCACATGTAGTAGGCCATACTCACCTTAGTTGTCTGCAATAGATGAGGCATAACTTATGTATAGTGTCCCAAGCACATGGTAGTTAGAAAAGACAAGAAAGTGCTCTCCAAACCAGAGGGAGAGGTGTCTGGTTTCTGACATCTATTCAGTGTGCATTCTCTTCCCTTGGATATCTGTCACCAACCCTTCCTGGGGACAACAACCAGCACAAAAGGGAGTGTGTGTTAAATAAGTACAATCATCACTGCACCAGTGCCTGTAATCACTCTGTGCATAGAGTGAGAAACAAACATTCTGGAAAGGATCCTTGATTCTCCCGCAAACTGTCCTTTGACTGGTCACAAGCTCTGGATGGTGTTCCAACAATGGTCATTTCTCTCGGAGAACACACACACCAGCATCACAGCGCTGGGTTCCCATGGATGTCACTACTTCCCAGCTGTCGATGATAGGGTCATAGCACTCAATACTACTCAGCAGGGAATTACCATCATATCTGAGTGGGAAAGAAGCAAAAGAAAGAAATCAACTTTCTATTTCTTTCCATACAAGTTCTTCATTAAAGATACCATTGGAGATGTCTCCCCGCACCCAAACCCTGTCTCCATCAAAAAACAAGAAGGCGGCCGGGCGCGGTGGCTCACGCCTGTAATCCTAGCTCTTGGGAGGCCGAGGCGGGCGGATTGCTCAAGGTCAGGAGTTCAAAACCAGCCTGAGCAAGAGCGAGACCCCGTCTCTACTATAAATAGAAAGAAATTAATTGGCCAACTGATATATATATAAAAAATTAGCCGGGCATGGTGGCGCATGCCTGTAGTCCCAGCTACTCGGGAGGCTGAGGCAGAAGGATCGCTCGAGCCCAGGAGTTTGAGGTTGCTGTGAGCTAGGCTGACGCCACGGCACTCACTCTAGCCTGGACAACAAAGCGAGACTCTGTCTCAAAAAAAAAAAAAAAAAAAAACAAGAAGGGGATCACATAAACTCTTGCCCTGGATACATGATGAATCTGGCTGGTTTCTAAATCCTTACCCTGCAATTGCATAGAGTCTTCCCCGAAGCACTGTGGCCCCTACATAGCATCGTGGAGTAGTCATGCTAGTAACAGTTGTCCAGGAATCAGTGCGAATGTTGTATGCCTCAACAGAAGAAAGGTGGGCTGTACCATCAAATCCCCCCACCACATAAATATGGTCATTCAGCAGGGCTACTCCTGCACCTGGGGAAAAAGAGGCTATTAGCAAATGAATGGTACTAAGCCTAGAATCAGAATCCTTGAAACAAAACATGGGTCACACTAATGGCTAGCTGAATTCTAGGGTAGATGAGGAATATGACTGGGGGCCCAGATGGGCCTAGAACAATCTAGTCCAGCACAGGTCATTCTATCTATAAATTCTTTGGCTAGGACTTGAAATGATAAAAGAAAAACAGAAATGGTTCTCTTCTTTACTTGCCCCATATAACTTGTAGGAAACTTCTTTCTTTTCATTAACTCAGAAAGCCCAACCCTATTCATTAGGAGAAAAGAAGAAAGTAAAAAATAAAAAGCAGCCAGGTGTGGTGGCTCACGCCTGTAATCCTAGCACTCTGGGAGGCCAAGGTGGGCAGATTGCTCAATGTCAGGAGTTTGAGACCAGCCTGAGCAAGAGTGAGACCCTGTCTCTACAAAAAAAAAAAGGAAAGAAATTAATTGGCCAACTAAAAATATATAGAAAAAAATGAGCCGGGCATGGTGGCGCATGCCTGTGGTCCCAGCTACTCAGGAGGCTGAGGCAGGAGGATTGCCTGAACCCAAGAGTTGGAGGTTGCTGTGAGCTAGGCTGATGCCATGGCACTCTAGCCCAGGCAACAGAGCGAGACTCTGTCTCAAAAAAAATAAATAAATAAAAATAAAAAATAAAAAGCAGTAAAGGTGGAAGGAGGAAAAGGACTATGTGACTATGGTTCTGGAGCAATTTTTACCTAGAGAAAATAAACTAGAATAGCACAGTGTGTTCTCCTTTCCTACATCCCAGCCTACTCTACCTCAAAAAGCTCTCAGTGAAGGTAAATAGCTCCTCTTCTGTTATTATGCACTAGAAATTTTATTTAACAAACGTTTGTGCATGTACTACATAGACAAAATCGTACTACATATTCTAAAATGCAGGGAGAGAACAAAGACACGAACGCTTTTGATCTCAAATTTATAATTTGGTTGAAAGTTTAAGCTGTCTTTGTCCTAATATTTAGAGAAAAGAGAGGCAAACAGGAGAATGGAATCCGACTCATAAGCATACAGTGAACCAGGAACTATACGTCTGATTTATTGATATCCTGTCCTATGACTGCACCACCGTCACACATGCAAAGATTTGACAGCACTGTCTATTGTCAGAGATGTGGTCTTTGACAACACTTTGACAATAACAGCACTGTCTATTGTCTCAGATGTGGTCTTACCAGAACGCTTGGTGGCCATTGGTGTAACATTGGTCCAGTGTCCTGTATGGGGATCGTATTTCTCAACTGAATTTAAGATATTCAAGCCATCATATCCTCCTGAAAGACAAAACAGAGATCATTCCAGAAAGAGTGGTAGATCCTCAGGCCCATTCCTAGTTGGCCTTTCTTTGAGTGCTCTAATTTTTTTTAGTTTCAATTCTCCCACAAGAGTTCCTTAATAAACCTAAGGGAAATCTTGACAGTACCATACTTTCTGCTTACAAAAAGATAATCCCAGTTAATGGAAAATATATTGAAATGGACCAGGGTTTTTGTTGAAGAAAGTCTATGAATTTTTTTTTTTTTGCCAGTTAAATACAGAGTTTTAATTTCATAGCTTAACAATGAAGGGTCATAATGAAGCCAATACATACACCTAGCATTTCAGTCTAAGCTTGTCCACATACATAGCTGAAATCAATTATAAGGTTTAGCCTAATAAATGCTAGGGGAACTTTTTCTTAAAGTAATTTTTACAGGTATTAAATTTCACCTTGTACACTGAAGTCATCATACATACAGGGCAAAGTCAGCTTTTATATTTGCGTTTATTCGTTTAACTTTTAAAACACTACTATAATTGAATATTATAAGAAAAACAATAGTAAGTAGTGAGCGTATTATGATTATAGTCCTTCACTCATTTCACTACTACATATAAAATGTCAGCAGTGAGTCTCATTCACTGGCCTCATTAAGAGGTTTGACACTGAACACCACCTCTGGGATGATGTTCATCATCCTCATATGCTTCTCCATTGTAATGGCGCCGTCTCTCTTGATTTGGATCAAAGTCCACGAGTTCTACTTGATCCATTTCATCAGTCTCTTCTACTTCCTTCCTCTCAGGTAGGAGTTTTTCCAGCAAAGACAGTTTATCAGGAGAAAGAAAGCCATTTTCAGGAAAATTTACCTTAAATTCGATGATTAGGCGGCCCTTTTCATATGGTCTACGATAAATTGGCATGCCTTCATTTAGCACACACTTGATATCTCCATGCTTGACAATCTGACCTGGATGAGAGGTGATGACTATGGTTCGGTTGTCAAGAGTAGATATTGGCTTCTGGAAGCCACATAATGCTTCAACCAGCTGTATGTCCATACACATGAAAAGGTCTTCTCCTCGTCGAGTAAAAACAGCATGGTCCTTCTGATCTAACACAATGATAATATCTCCTGGCTCTAATCCTGGTTCTTGGTCTCCTTCACCATGGAATGTTATCTTCTGGCCATCTTTCATGCCTTTGTCAATATGAACTTCTAGAATCTTTTTTTTTCGAACTATCTTCCTTCCATTGCAGCTTTTACATCTGTCTTTAGGACTGATCTGTTCCCCATGGCCCTGGCACTCCATGCACACTGATTGAATTTGCTGGACCATTCCAGGTCCTATCTGATGAATTCTTATTTGCATTCCAGTACCTCGGCAATTGGGACAGCACTCTACTGCTCCTTTCTTACCACCTCGGCCTTCACATTTGTCACAAATCACATTCTTTTGCAGAGGCAGTTTTCTTGTTGCACCATTATATAAATCTTCTAAGGTTACTGAGAGCTGATGTACAACATTTTTACCTCTCCTTTCTCTTTGCATCCTTCCTCCTCCAAAAAACATATCAAAGATGTCCATGGGGGAGCCAAAACCGCCACCTACTCCACCCTCTTTAATTGCCTGTTCTCCTCCTTTGTCATATAGTTCCCTTTTCTTTGCATCAGAGAGAACTTCGTAAGCTAGAGAAATCTGTTTAAACTTCTCTCCTTCATTTGGATTCTTATCAGGGTGGTACTTCAAGGCCAGTTTCCTATAAGCCTTTTTCAACTCTTCATGAGTGGCATTGGGTTTGACCCCCAAAACATCATAGTAAGTGGTTTCTTTCACCTTTTTCTACAGCCGGTGAGCGGGCTGAGGCCGACGTGGAGGAGCGGGAAGGAGCGCGTAGCCGTGCGCAGCTTGGGCAGCCGCTGCTCCTCCATCTCTCACCGAGCGTTCTGGAAAGTTCCCGAACTTAATTAATTTTGATAAAAAAGGATTCCCACCCATTGAGTTCTCTCCCATTCCAGCAACCCAGACTCAATACCTAGACAGTAGATCACTCCACTGGCTACTACTAGTCCGGCGCCTTCCCGGGCTGTCTGCATATCTCCCAGCATGCTCCACTGGTCAATGTTTGGGTCATATCGCTCCATACTGGTGTGACGCCTGCTTCCATCAAAGCCACCAGAGACATAGATCATATCTGTTCAGAATGAACAAATCACAAACTATTAGAGAATGAAAGATTTCTAAGAATTCTTTTCTCTACAAATTCCCTACAGATTCTTTAAATGCCTGGGAGTAAAAGCAAAGTGTTTTTTAAAATGGAACAAGTCGGCCAGGCGCAGTGGGTCACGCCTGTAATCCTAACACTCTGGGAGGCCAAGGCGGGTAGATTGTTTGAGCTCAGGAGTTTGAGATCAGCCTGAGAAAGAGCGAGACCCTGTCTCTACTAAAAATAGAAAGAAATTAATTGGCCAACTAAAAATATATATATAGAGAAAAAATTAGCCAGGCATGGTGACGCATGCCTGTAGTCCAGCTACTTGGGAGGCTGAGGCTGGAGGATTGCCTGAGCCCAGGAGTTTGAGGTTGCTGTGAGTTAGGCTGATGCCACAGCACTCTGACCTGGGCAATAGAGTGAGACTCTGTCTCAAAAAAAAAAAAAAAATTAAAATGGAATAAGTCAATTAAGTGTTATAGACAAGGAAGACAGTACAGTTAAAATATCTAAAAAGAAGGGGGTAAGATGAAATCTTTAGAATCATTCAAAGACCACATGGAAGTTTGCAAAAATACAACTAGTGCTAGTCCTTAACCCAGCACATTGGAACTTGATTTACCAACTTTGTAGTCAGTATTGAAACATGAATACTGATTCGCTTCTGTAACATTGATACTTCTGAAAGCAAAAAGGTATATTTGACCATACAAATTATCCTCAAATTTCATACTCCTGCCAGACAAGAGGAGCGAAAAGAATCCTGATGGAGCCACAGTAAAGATGGACATGTGACCCTGCACACCAAGCCTACCTCCCAGGGTGGTGGCCCCAGCAAGGCCTCGTCGGACATTCATGGGGGCCACAGAGTACCAGACCCCATCCTCGTCTGCTGTGTAATCCAGACACTCCACTGAACTGAGGCGGGAACGGCCGTCATAGCCACCAATTACATAGATCCGGTCATGTAGGGACACTGAGGCTACATAACGTCTCTTACGAGTGATGCTCTATGGATTTGGAAAGAAGAGGTACAGAGAATTTCAGTTAGGCAAGTTTTGGGACTTACCTTTTGCTCTCCTTGCTGTTTTTATCTACACACCTGTATGCTTTTTCACCTGTCGCCATGAGCCCTCCTTGAGTGATTCATCCTCAAGTGGCCCCCAGCTGGCTGCCTCCTGAACGAAATGCTTGCTGTGGTCGTCTTAAAGATGCAAGCTTTCTGCACATGTGTCTCTTTCCAAGGCTTCCAAATGACTTAATGGCTTTCTACTACCCAGCATCTGACTCCTTTCTGTTCCATAAGGCACTAGGCTAAGTGACAGATATCATTCCATAAAGTAGAAACGTATTCCTACATTGCTAATAAAAGAGCCAGGATTCAAAGACCCTAAAGAGCAGGAGTGCCTAGCACTCTGGGAGGCCGAAGCGGGCGGATTGCTCAAGGTTAGGAGTTCGAAACCAGCCTGAGCAAGAGCAAGACCCCGTCTCTACTATAAATAGAAAGAAATTAATTGGCCAACTAATATATATAGAGAAAATTAGCTGGGCATGGTGGCATATGCCTGTAGTCCCAGCTACTCGGGAGGCTGAGGCAGGAGGATTGCTTGAGCCCAGGAGTTTGAGGTTGCTGTGAGCTAGGCTGACGCCATGGCACTCACTCTAGCCTGGGCAACAAAGTGAGACTCTGTCTCAAAATAAATAAATACATACATACATACATACATACATAAATAAATAGCAGGAGTGGATTTCCGTGTTTTCTCAGAAATTACTATTCATTTAACACTAAAATAGAGACATACTGAGGGGAGAAGAATACAAACTTCTGAGTTCAACTGACACTAGTTCAATTTAACACAATTCAACAATTTGACACTGAGTTCAGTCAAACATAGTGTGACTAATGAAGGATTCTGGGAGTTATACAGACAGCTTAGAAAGGCATGTAAACAGACAGGGCATGGTGGCTCACACCTGTAATCCCAGCACTTGGGAGGCTGAGGTGGGAGGATTGTTTGAGGCTAGGAGTTCAAGACCTGCCTGAGCAACATAGCAAGACCCAGTCTCTACAAAAAGAATTAGCCAAGCATGGTGGCACACACCTGTAGACCCACCCACTTGGGAGGCTAAGGCAGGAGGATCACTTGAACTCAGGAGTTTAAGGTTGCAGTGAGCTATAATGATGCCACTGTACTCTATGTACTCTAGCCTAGGCAACAGAGTAAGACCCTGTTTCAAAAAAAAAAAAAAAGAGAGAAAGGCACCTACATAGTGTTGGCCACTGAATTTGATACAGGGATATTGATATTTCTAAAGTCTAATCCTCTATTCTAAATAGTCAAAAACTGTTTACTGAGTACTTACTGTATTCACAACACTGGTATCAGAAACATGCTGTTACTAGGCTTTTCTACTCTTAGGGCTGTATTAGTTACGATCTAGAGTACGAGACCAAGGACATTTAAGCTCCCTCCCAACAATTGGTTCCACCATTATTTACTGGCAAAAAGCTCCACTCCTGAGTCTTGGGGTCGTATTTTTCCACCACATCAATGGGAGACTGTTGGCTTCCGAAGCCCCCAACCACCAGAAGCACTTCATTGGCCCCTGAAGACAAAGATTAAAAACAAATACATTACTTTCCCATCCCTGGCTGGGTAACTCACAGGGAAGTTTAAGTAGAAATAGTTTTAAGATATTTTGTTTCATGTTGTGGCGAGATTGATCTGAAATAGGAGATATATCATAAGGCTGCCTAATATAGGAAGTTATTTCTTCTTGAGGTTCTAGCTCTTGAGTCTCTGAAATTTAAATTTCTGGACAACATTAAAACTGTAGAAGGCAAACCTGAACATACCACTGTTCTGTTTCAACCTACGGAAATGACTTTGGCTAACATAGTAACAGACAGCTTCAGTGCAGGTTGGGGACATAGAAACAGGAAAGAAATAGATTATACTATAAAACCCAGGGAACTGATAGCATTTCCTGTTGGCTGAAAGTTTCTCAGTAAACATTCTGGTAACTATATGTCTATAGCAGAACTTAGATAGAGGTGTCAGTGTGAGTTGCTCAGAGATTTTATGTCTGTAAAATGACTGGGAACCTAAATTGGACGTTACTGCTAAAACCCCTGTACTTTCTACCATACTGGGCTCCTTTTCCTTCCTCTTTTCCTACCAGAATGGATAAAACACGTAAGGGGAAGGGGAGAGGTGGGTAGAGCATACCACTTACTACGTGACACTGAAAAGAATCTCTAATTCACAGAATCTAAATATACTGAAATAAAATTATAACATATTACATGACACTGCACAATTTATAATATGCTTTTATACTTTATCTCATTTAATGTCCAAATAATTTATGAAACAGATGAAGATATCTTTGATTTATAGGAAAAGGAGGTTTAGAGTAGTAAAGTGATTTGTCTGAGATAACACAATAAAAGATCTAAAACAGAGTCTTTGTACTTCTTACAGAATGTCTTTTTCAACTAATTAAGCCACCTATAAGAAGTCGTTGAAAAATATCCCCATTTGCCAAGATGCCAGCTTACCTAGACGAGCCCTTGTCCTGGGGCCCTGCATCTGACTCCGAAGTTCAGGCCTCAGATGAAACTTCTTCGCTTCATCAACGAGATCCCTGCACTGTAAACTACAGCGGATAAAAGGCTGAAATACAGCAAATAGTAGAGTGAGCCACAGGGCCTACCTCCAATACTGTGGGAGTACAAAGGGCACATAAAGAATTAACTTCTCGGCCAGGCGTGGTGGCTCACGCCTGTAATCCTAGCTCTCTGGGAGGCCAAGGCGGGCGGATTGCTTGAGGTCAGGAGTTCAAAACCAGCCTGAGCAAGAGCGAGACCCCGTCTCTACTAAAAATAGAAAGAAATTAATTGGCCAACTAAAAATATATACAAAAAATTAGCTGGGCATGGTGGCGCATGCCTGTAGTCCCAGCTACTTGGGAGGCTGAGGCAGCAGGATCGCTTGAGCCCAGGAGTGTGAGGTTGCTGTGAGCTAGGCTGACGCCACGGCACTCACTCTAGCCTGGGCAACAGAGCAAGACTCTGTCTCAAAAAAAAAAAAAAAAAAAAAAAGAATTAACTTCTCAATATAGAAAACCAGTGTCCAGAGCCCTGTGATTTCAGGAGTATTGCTTGTATTAATTATAACTATGCTGTAGGTTTCCAGAAATAATTTTTAAAATAGATAATATATTACACAGATCAAAATCAGAAGATATATTGAGAAGTATTCCCCATCTACATTGGCGCTTACCTGTAATTACTTTTATTAGCTTGTATATCTTTCCAGGGATTATGCAAATACAAGTACATAGTAACTAATAAGAATTTTAAGGGAAAACCAGAAGGCTTCTGTTATTTTCTGGAGTAACAGAAAGAAGTATACCTTCTACATGTACTACTAGCCCTCTAGAAATAAGTATGTTTAAGGTAAAGCAACTTGAAACTCTACACAGGGCTTGTTTTCCAAAGAAGTATTGTTTAGAGGAGCAAAATTATAAGCCCTACTCATATGTGTTGTAAAACTGTTTTGAAAAGTGAGGCTTGTGAATAGAAATGTAGTGCCTGACTCACAATCCACTTAAAACTTGTAACAAATACAGATAAGAAGTTGAAAAAAAAAGAAGAAAGAAAGAAGTATATGTTGTCTGAATAATTAATTTTCCCAAGGTTCACAGCACATACTCCCCAAGTCTACTTCTGATAATTCTGCACTGGACACCTTTCATCTGCCTCCCTAGAGTCACTCTGTGCCCTTCTCCACTCTGCTCTCTAGCTCGGAAGACTAGACTATGTGACTAGACAACAGGGCTCCCATGCCCTCTGGCTTCTGGTTGGGATCAGCCCAACCAAAGGTCAAGCCTCTTCTCGAGGAAGCGATTCTACATGACTCTTTCCTTTCAGGTTCTGGTAACTACTCCCTGACCTTGTTTCTTCAGATTTAGGGGTTAACAGCTTGGCTGTACTAGATCCAGATTACTTCACTATCTTTTGTTATTTCTCTATACTCACATCTTTGTAAGCAGCTCCTTTAAAAATAAACCCCTCCTCAAATTGTTCTATTTTGAGCATGTCATCTGTTTTCTGTTGGGACCCTAATTGATGTAAGCTCTAATTACTTAGCACATCTATTAACCTGACATTTTCGTGATGAATTGGAAAGGAATATAAACAATACTAGTAAACACTTACATACAACACATAATTCTAAAAGCTTTTACATATTACCTTATTTACTACTAACAGCAATCTATGAGGTAGGTACCATCATCATCTCTGTTTTACAGATAAGGAGGCTGAGGTACAATTTTATTAAGTCATCTATCTGCCTAGGTTCACATAGGAAGCAGTGAATTTGGGATTTCAGTCCCTTGAGTCTGGCTCCAGAGTCTGTGCTTTTAACCAGAGTATAAACAACTATGGGTTGAAAGGCATATGGTATAAAAAAGAAAAAGAAAAAGAAAAAAAAATAACTGGACACAAAGGGTATGCTGATGGGTTATAAGAAAGAAATTACAAATAGAAGAAAAAGAGTTTGAGATATGACACTAACCAGCCTGCAACTTTTCTAATGAGAAAAACTGAAAAACTGCCGGGCGTGGTGGCTCACGCCTGTAATCCTAGCACTCTGGGAGGCCGAGGCGGGAGGATTGCTCAAGGTCAGGAGTTCGAAACCAGCCTGAGCAAGACCCCGTCTCTACCAAAAATAGAAATAAATTAATTGAACAACTAAAAATATATATACAAAAAATTAGCCGGGCATGGTGGCTCATGCCTGCAGTCCCAGCTACTCGGGAGGCTGAGGCAGTAGGATCGCTGAGCCCCGGAGATTGAGGTTGCTGTGAGCCAGGCTAACGCCACGGCACTCACTCTAGCCTGGGCAACAAAGTGAGACTCTGTCTCAAAAAAAAACAAAAAAAAAAAACAAAAAAACCTGAAAAACTGTGTTTAAAGTTAACTCCCAAAGAGATCTAGGACTGGGCCAAGTAGGAGGAACTCATTCACTGACCTGAGCCTTACCTACATGTTATAAAGCATTGCTCCACACAGTACGGTCCAGGTAACACAGGTGGTATATATGGTAAAAGTTATGAAAACATATTACAAAGAACTTAAGTTGGAGAAACACTTTTATAAATAAATGCAACATGATATGACCAAAGTTGACAATAAAATGCATCAAACTACTATCATGCTGGATTCATTAGAGGTCAAAAATAAAGAGGCTTTCTAAGCAAAACATCTTTGGCTGTTTTCCAGGGCAATTTGGAACAATTTATGTTCAGTGGAGAAGGGGACAAAGTTTATCATCTGATGTTTATATAAAATACTTAGGGACAGGGACATGTAAAACAAAAGACAACAAAACACAAAATTAAATTAAACCATAGATTTTCAATTGTATCAGGAGCCTGACTTGCCAAGCAATTAACTTTTCTTAGAAATATGACTGGGGGCTGGGTGCAGTGGCTCATGCCTGTAATCCCAGCACTCTGGTGAGGTCAAGGCAGGAGGATTGCTTAACGCAGGAATTTAAGACCAGCCGGAGCAAGAGCAAGACCCCGTCTCTACTAAAAACAGAAAAATTAGCAGGGCTCAGTGGCACACACCTGTAGTCCCAGCTACTCAGGGAGGCTGAGGCAGGAGGATTGTTTGAGTCCATGAGTTTGGGGTGGCAGTTAGCTCTGATGATGCCACTGTACTCTAGCCCAGGTGACAGAGCAAGACTCTGTCTCGGAAAAAAAAAAGTCTGGGAATTACCCAGTACCACCTTCTCTGGCGTCTAGAGATGAACCAGAAGACTCTGTGTCTACATTAAAAATAATCGATTTTGAATACACAATACTAAGCTTACAAAAGCTAGTCAACGTTTTGGATCCTGAGTGTCCTGTATGACTTACCTCAGCATCTATTACATCTGTGATATACCTGGGCGTCAGCAGGGGCATCCGCACATACTGCAGCAGGTCAGGCAAGGATTCTTCTCGCTCCTTCTTGGCATGCTTCACCCAGTTGATGACAGCCTCAAAGACTGGCTCTTCAGAATCTACCTGTAAAGGTATAATTACACATCATGGATCTGCCTTTCCAATTAGCTCATGGGGTCAAAAAATAGCCATGCTTACTTTCTCTTTCCTATTCTCCATTGCCCAACACCATTATTTCCCATCTTCGAGGAATAGCTAGGCTCTTAGGAAAACAATCTTTTCAGGCACAGCTAATTCAGATCAAGAAAAGAATTATAGGCCGGGCGCGGTGGCTCACGCCTGTAATCCTAGCTCTCTGGGAGGCCGAGGCAGGCGGATTGCTCAAGGTCAGGAGTTCACAAACAGCCTGAGCAAGAGCGAGACCCCGTCTCTACTATAAATAGAAGAAATTAATTGGCCAACTAATATATATATAAAAAAATTAGCCGGGCATGGTGGCACATGCCTGTAGTCCCAGCTACTCGGGAGGCTGAGGCAATAGGATCGCTTGAGCCCAGGAGTTTGAGGTTGCTGTGAGCTAGGCTGACGCCACGGCACTCACTCTAGCCTGGACAACAAAGCGAGACTCTGTCTCAAAAAAAAAAAAAAAAAAGGAAAAGAATTATAGTCAACTTAGGTTAATAAAAAAAATCTAAGATAGTACCTAATAAATCATCAGTTGCGTGGCCTTCATGTCAGAATTCTTTCCATTCCTGAATTTTGTTTTTGTCATTTGTACAACTTTAGGAGAGTGGGTGGGGGAATCTGTTGCCCTATTCAAAACTGGCTCTTGAAATAACTTTTATTCATAATCATTATCTAATGACCTCCAGGTTCATTCCCCTAAATCATCCACCCAAGCCTCTGACATAGGAGCCTCTCTTACATCATCATATGGAATGTTGTAGTTTTCAAAGCACTATGAATTAGCATTTGAGCAATTACTATTATTAGGCGCTGAACTACTTGAGATGATACATATAATTAGTAATTTGAGGAACTTAGGTCTGAGTTTACATCTGACCAACTAAATGAGGTGAGACATACCTTAAAAGCCCTACATTATACCACCAGAAGGACATTAGATATATAATGACACCTAGGACTTCCCAAAGACAGACACCTAAGCATAGGTCCTGTGTCCCTTCCACCAGCACCGAGGGCATATGTGCTCTGAGAGACACCTTTCAGAGTGTCACTGTGACTAACCACCTTGTGAACTTTTTCTAAGAACAGTGGTACTCTAAAAACGGTGGTACTCTAAAAACGGTGGTACTCTAAAAACAGTGGTACTCTAAAAACGATGAAAATGTTCCAGAAAGTTCATTCATTCTATCGATTTACTCAATCCCTCTCAAATGCCAGGCACTGTCCTGGAAGCTGGTTTTACAATGGAACAAATCAGATATAATCCCTGTTCTTAAGTAGGGAAACAACTGTTAAATCAGAAAAATGAACAATCCCACTATTATTATATACTATATTGGAAAGGTCCCAGGGCTATGACACAGAGTAACATGAGATTTCCTAATTTAGAATGATGAGTCAGAGAAGGCCTCCCTGAAGAAATGATAAATTAAAATCTGACGGATGAGTAGCAGTTAGCTAGAGAAAGCAAAAAAGTACTCCAGGGCAGACAGAAGAGTACATACAAAAGCACTAGAGCTGCACTTTCCAACACAGTAGCCACTAGCCATGTGTGGCTATTTACATTTAAATTCATTAAAATTAAATTAAATTAAAAATTCAGCTTCTCAGTTACACTAGCCACATTTCAAGTTCTCAACAGCAACATGGGGCCAGTGGCTAGCAAACTGAACAGAACATCTATAGATCATTTCCATTTTCACAGAATATTGTATTGGACAGCACCTACAGCTAAAAAGAGCTGGCAGTTTGAGGAGATGACTGGATAGTGTAGTATAATAAATGAGAAAGTGGAAGAATGGTGAAAGATGAAGCTAGAGAAGTATGCAAGGGCCAGATCACAGAGGGCACTAGAGTACTGAATTTTACTCTAATTGAAAATCACTAAAGTAGGTTTCAAGTAGGCTAGTGATATGATCACATTGATATTTTGTAAAGATTACCCTGGTTAACATGGGTAGAACAGTTTAGAAGGGCCAAGAGCTAAAAGGCCAGTTAGATGCTACTTTGGTACATTAGGCAAAAAGGCAAAAAGGTCGATGATACTTAGACTATAGTTGTGGCAGTGATGAGAAGGAAATAAATGTACTGGAAAAATGTTTGGGAGATCAAAGTAACCCAGGCTACTGATGGACTAGATGCAGGGGATGGTGCAGATGGGTGTTCATGATTTTTAAAAAAATTTTTGTTAAAGAATGACTGGCGAATCATTTTGAGCAGATGCATGCCAGAGACTGACACAGTCTAGGTTTAAATTAGATAGATCAGCTTAAAGATGGGGTTTTTGCAATCATGAGCAAAGATTCTTAATCTTACTGAAGACAGAATAAATTAGAATCACAGAGAAACAGCTAAGCTAGGAGGAAAAAGCTCCAACATTAATGCTTCACTTGAAGAAAATAAGTTTTCTCCACAATAAAGTTTTACAAAGAATTCTCTTGTGTTTCAGGCACTGGCATTCTTATTTAATGACAGACTAACCCATTGTACTAGGTACTAATATTATCTACATTTGATACAAGAGGAAACTGACAGCTAGTGGTTAGTGGTTAATACATGCCCTACAGCCAACACTAAACCCCAGTCTAACTCTAAAACCTATGTTGTCGTAACCAACATGACATACCGTTTCCCAATGTTTTAAGTACTATTGTTTTATTTAATAAGAAGTGTTAGCAACTCAAGTCAGACATCTGGTTTCTATTTCTGGCTGGTATATGGAACAGGAAAAAATATGTCATTTGCTGTCTTTCCAGAAAAAAACCAAAAGGTCAGTCTTGACACACACTTAAGGAAAACTATACATAAGAGTTCTCAAATTGGTTTTCATTTTAGCTTTTGACATGAAGTCAGTTATTTGGTCTCTCTGCTCCAACCAGTTTTATTCCAAAGTCTACATAGTTCCAAAATAAATGACTTCTGTGACCTTTTCCTGATTTGGACAATTAGAAACAAAATGACTACATGACAAGCTCATAGTTTAGTGGTTAAAAAAACAGGACTCTGGAGCCAGGTTGCACACATTTGAATCCTGGCTCTACCACTTACTAGCTGTGATATGATAAGTAACCTCCAATCCTCAGCTTCCTCCTATGAAAAATCGAGATGTGAGAATTAAGTAAGATAAAAGTACCAAGAATGGTGGCATTAGAAGGGAAGCTCCGGGGACAGAGAATTTTGTCTGTTTTGTTCATAACGGGACCTCCAACACTAGGAACAGTTCTGGGCACACAGTAAGTACTCAATAAATATTTGGTAAATGAACCAATAGTAAGTGCTGAGTAAGTATTAGCTATTTTATTATTATATGCAATGAACTTCAAATACATAGTTGCTCATTCTATTCCAATATATGGCTAAATCAAGAAAAATCAAGATATTCTAGTGAAGTACCAGTTTCCAAGAATATATTTTTTGGCTATGCAGGGCATTTCAGTACAAGGATACAATGTCCCACATCAAGAGGGTGAGAACTAAGATTTCTGTAAATTCTTGACTCAGCAGCATTTGTAACTTCTCTGGGCTGATATGAAATAGCATGTCAAGCTGGAAAATTATTCCTCTTTAGTTGGAAACAATGTCACCAATGTGCCCTAATCAATTTTTCCTTCAGAAAAGTCACTAGGAAAAGGTATAAAGAAAAAGTTGACTTAAACTTGTTAAGAAATATATTTAAGACCTATTATTATATTACATAAAATATGTCTGTCTCTACTACTATACTGCGAATTCTCTGCAAGCAAGATCTATAGTTTACCCACTTTTGGATCTAAAGCACCTGGCACAGTAATTGCTACATGGTAGGTATTCCCAATAAATGTTTGTGAAATAAGTGAATGGTTAATAGCAGTATTCCACAGAAACCAACTTTACTTCCATTTTCTGCTTATTCCATACTCTGTTTAATAGTGATTCTCAACCACTAATATGATAATTAGATCATATATCTAATTGAAGAAAGTGGCAAAGTCCCTCTTCATAAAGATGCAAATAAATCTGGTATTAACTTCAGGGAGTTAATGTAACCTTTGGAGCCAATATGGACATTTGATTATGAAGCCCTGATACAGAAACACAGTAACTCCACCTCACTTTGCAAGTTTTCTCTCTCTCTCTCTCTTTTTTATTTCTCCCTTATATAAGAACTTTGCAAGTTTTATAATTGCCATAACAAAAGTCTTGAAGAAACTATAACACCAATCCAGATCTGTACCTGAATTTCATCACACTTGATTAGCTTTTCCACCTCTCCTTGACTTAGAAGAATGAACTCTTCATGCTGTACCACTTCAGGGAAATGCTTCTGGCTAAAAACCTCAGCTGCTTGCATCAGGTCAACACAATTGTGGGTTTCAGCAAAATCCCTGATACCCAGGCAATTAGAAGGGTCCAACTGACTTTCTAAGAACTCACAGCAGGCTTGCTTCACACCTAGGACAAACACAGGCAGTGAATACTTCAGGATACTTGGCCAGGTGTGAACTGGTCTATATTCTTGGATCTCAACATCTTCTCTGCATGTTATCAGAGGAACCCTTGCTCAACACCTACAAAAAATATTTAAAATTTTATGCTTAAAGAATTTAAATTCTATTTTTGTCTTAGTGCTGTGTAACTTTCGGCAAAACCTTTACACCTGCTTCTGCTTCATCTTTAAAATGATGAATGTCTTCCAGAGATACTGGCACAATTAAACAAAAATCTCCATAAAACACTTGGGAACCAAGCAACAAAACCAATTACAAATCAAATTGAGCATAATGTACCTATTTTCTACTCTACACGAAAACTTACTAAAAGAATCCAGTGAAAGAAAAACAGAAGATACTAATAACAATCTCATGTTTCTCTAATTGAAAAGTTCAGAGTATAATCTTAATTTTTATGATTGTGCACTAATGCAAAGCTTCACACTGTTTAAATTATGTATTAAAAACTGAAACTATTTCAATTGTATGTATATAAGAACTGAAAATAATGAAAACATAACTGAATGTTAAAAAAGATTGAGAACTGGGAGACCATCTCTAAGCCTGTGAAAACTCTAAAAGTTCATTTTTGTGCATCAATTCAATTTTTTAATTTCAAAAAAAATTTTTTTTTCCAACAGGGCAGATTGTCTCAAAATTTCAAACATTTTAAGATACAAAAAACTTTTCCCATGAAAAGTCCCCCACCCTCCCTATTAATGTGGCCATTTGATGGCCAGGTAAATTAACAGTCTCTATGTAGGCAATTAATACAATCAGTTTCCTGTATTTTCTTACAGGTATATTCTATACATATATATAAGAAAATGCTTAATTTTCCTCTCCTTCATGTTTTTTAAAAACAGAAAAGGTGTAAATGCTCTCTTTTAAAGAGCCAGGGCCAGGTGTAGTGACTCACACCTGTCCTCCTACTGCTTTGGGAGGCCAAGGCAGGAGTTTAAGGATGCCCAGCCTGAGTGACAGAGTGAGACCCTCTTTTTTTTTTTTTTTTAAGAAACAAACAAAGGAACCAAAAACTTGTATTTGGTAAGGTTCCAGTATATTGCTATTGACATCTAACCTTTTATTGCTCAGAGACACAAGGCATGGGGAGTAAAGATGAGCACTCATAGTCTGCCTCCATAGTTTTCATGATTAAGTTTACAGTGGTCATTTTAAACATTTCCAGGGCGCCTTTGGCATGGACAATAGCAACTTTTAATGTCTATACCTTTCAGCTGAAGCAGACAGGCTGCAGGGAGCAGTTCTTGCACATTCTCCACCGTCACATGTACTGTTTCTGTGTACACAAAGTCTAACAGGATTTCCATGGTAGAAGCAGTTAAACCTTGGATATCAACGTAAGGTTTCCCCTTCTCAGAAAGCTGAAAATTCAAGGCGTATGAAAGAATAGTGGTTATAATTGCACAAGATAAAGGCAAAATCTCATATCTAAGAGCTTAAGGTGATATTAATAATATTGAATATATATCTTTTAAAAATTATGAATTACTTTGATTTATATAAAGCAAATACAGCCCATATTTGTAGTTTTTCAAATGGAATGGGCAGTTTTCTGTACCCTACGAGTATATAGTAGGTGACATCTTCCTGGAATAGCAATATTACCAGTGAATAATTTTAGAAATTGATTTCATATTTAAACAAACATAGATGTATTACTGAATAGAATGGAAAAGTTCCATGAACATAATACTGGTGTCCATGAACTTTTAAGACAAAATACAAACTTTCAGTGAAATTTCATGCTTATAGAGGATCCTGTGGCTTATAGCACCAGACTCTCCAGGATTACCTAGTTTATGTGATATGTCTTTTTTTTTTTTAATTAATTAATTTATTTTTGAGACAGAGTCTCACTTTGTTGCCCAGGATAGAGTGAGTGCCGTGGCGTCACCCTAGCTCATAGCAACCTCAAATTCCTTGGCTCAAGCAATCCTACTGCCTCAGCCTCCCGAGTAGCTGGGACTACAGGCATGCGCCACCATGCCCGGCTAATTTTTTCTATATATATTAGTTGGCCAATTAGTTTATTTCTATTTATAGTAGAGATGGGTCTCGCTCTTGCTCAGGCTGGTTTTGAACTCCTGACCTCGAGCAATCCGCCCGCCTTGGCCTCCAAGAGTGCTAGGATTATAGGCATGAGCCACCGTGCCCAGCCTGGACTATCTCTTTGAAGTTATAAATATTGATGAGGCCAGAGAATCATAGGAAATTATTTAGCTAAGAGTAGAAATCTTCAATGTTACAGGACAGTAAACTATCTGAAGACTGATTATCTTATGAAAATTTTACTAGATCTTAACCTTAGTTTAGAAATTCATGTTACTCATAAAATACCAGTGCACCTCCATTATGAACTAAATGACTTTATCATCTTTGATTTCTCCAACAGCTCAGAGAATAATCAAAAAGCATTCTCTACCAAAGCCAAGCACAAAATCAATCCCTAACACTAAAAAAAGTCACTAGCATATTATTTAGAAAAAGCACATTAGGGTTTTTTTTTGTTTTTTTTTTGAGAGAGAGTCCCACTCTGTTGCCAGGGCTAGAGTGCCATAGCATCAGCCTAGCTCACAGCAACCTCAAACTCCTGGGCTCAACTGATCCTTTTGCCTCAGCCTCCTGAGTAGCTGGAACTACAGGTGTGCACCACCACGCCCGGCTAATTTTTCTGTTTTATTATTTATTGTTTGGAGCAACTCTGTTCTTTTTAATATCTTCAGAATACAGTCTCATTTCAGTGCAGTGGGCTGGATGGCCAGGGAGGGTGTTGAAAGCCCCACTGAGTCTCCAAGGGTCCACTGGGCCCTCTTGGTCCGGCTCCAGGAATCTTGGCCTGGTCATGGGGCAGACTTGGTTGCAGGGCCCAGTGGCCGTGGGTGAGACATCGGCTCTCAGATGGTGAGCAGCTCAGAGCTGGTGCAGCTCAGCAGGTCCTGGTCCCCCACGGGCTCTGGGCTCTCTGGAATCACATGGTGGATGCTTTTCCCCCCACCAGAGCCTCGGTTCCAGCAGCTGGTGGGCGAGCTGGGTGCAGCGCACAGCAAACACGCTCTCCACCATGCAGAGCACTAGCGTGACGGCCCAGAGGCACACGCTGGAGCTTTAAATGCACATGGGGTCAAAGGGACAGTCAGGCGTGAGGGCCAGTAGTTCAGGGCTCCCAAAAGTTCAGGTGGCCGGCAGTGCCTGGCCCTGGGTGGCAAAGGTCACAGCGATTGAGGCCAAGAGGACGAGGGCACAGGTCAGAGAGAGGAGAGCACAGGCCACACTCCAGTTAAACACCATCCAGCGCAGAGGGGTGCTGGGGAGGTGGCGTGACAACATGATGGCTGCAATGCCAGAGGTGATGACCACGATAGAGGAAGTGACAGAGAGGATGGTGACTGTGCAGTACTGCAGAGCCAGAGAGTCGCGCCCACATAGTACAGCACAGTGCCATGGAGCAGGGGGGCTGTGATGAAGCTCACGTGGCCCAGCACCACCAGCACCAGACCTGTCTTCATCAGCACCTTCCAGAAGTCACACACACTCAGGCCACCGAGGCAGAGACACATGTCGGCTTCCATGTGGGTCGCCGTGGCCACCTTCAGCGGGGCTCCGAGGCTGCGGGCTGCCCAGGCGCCAGGCTCCCATCCTTGTCGCCTGCCACCTGGAGTGCGGGGCTCAGTGGTGCTGCCCCAGCCTCCCTTCCAGTCCTAATTTTTCTATTTTAATAGAGATGAGGTCTCTCTCTTACTCAGGCTAGTCTTGAACTCCTGACCTCAAGTGAGCCTCCCACCTCGGCTTCCCAGAGTATTAGGATTATAGGTGTGAGCTACCACACCTGGCTGCACATTAGGTTTTAACATTTACTGCAGTACAAGAATTTATGAACAGTTACTGTCCCAACACATTAAATACATTTAATACTAATGATACTAAAATATATAAGTACATATATTCCAGAAGTTTCTCACTCAATAAATAAACTATATTCCCATCAAATAATTTAAATATGGAAATGATTTCACTATGTAAGAGCCTAGAGCAATTACACATTTCACATTTATATTTTGCTTTAGAATTCTTCAGCATGTTTCTTGTTTACTATTATTTCATCTGATTCTCACAGCAACCTGGTAATGTAGCTAAGGTCTGATTCTATTGCCATTTAAGAGATAAAGGATCTAAGGATCAAAGAACTTATATGACTTAACCAGGGTCACTTAACTAGTAAGAGACAGATAAAACCCAGGTCCTCTTGCCTTAATCCTTTGATCTTTTAATTGGACATTTGAGGAGCATTTTAGGGCTAGAAGAGAACAAGGAAACCATCTTGTTTAACCATTTTATTTTATAGATCAACACAATTAAGTTAGATGGCTGCCAGGGTCATACAGAATTGCAAAGAGAACTAAGCCTAGAATCCAGGTCTCTGGACTCTCTAAACCACTTACTTTAAGAAATAAAGGGGGGCAGGGGGTGGGTATATACATACATAATGAGTGAGATGTGCACCCCCTGCTATTTTTTCTATTTTTAGTAAAGCCCCTGGGTCTCTTGGCTAGGCTCGTCTCAACTCCTGAGCTCAAAGATCCTCACATCAGCCTCACAGAGTTGTTGGATTACAGGCCATGAGCCACCATGCCTGGCCTGGATTACATGAACTTTATGAATCATTCGCTATTAATGGACATTTTAAGGTTGCTTTTCAATCTAATCTACAAACAATGCTACAGTAACAACCTTACATTATCATTTTATTGTGTGGAGCATATGTGAAGACAGATTTAATTGCTCAAAGTATATAGCATTATAATTTTAGTAAATATTTCCAAATACCTTCAAAGAATTTATCACCGATCCTGCACTCCGTCGACAATGTATAATCGGAACTTGTGGATGAGGAAGAGCCCACACATATGGGAGATGGAAATCTATGTAAAATTAGAATGCTTCTTTTGTTATGGTTTTATTTATCCTTAGGAATCAAAGGTCCTTGAGGAAAGTATAAATTAAATTAGGTTGGACCTTCACGTAAGAGGAACCAATGAACCTCTTTTACCTTCTTTGCACTAAGATATATAATGCACAAAATCAATTTAGGGCAAAATTCCTAAACTGAATCCTCAGCACCCATGACTGGTGAAAAGTCAGAATAAAGCAGTGGCGATAAGGATTCCGGACTTCTCTTAAGAAGAGTCTTTGGCAATTTCTCTCACGGTGTCCACTTCAAGGCCACTAGTTCTTCCACTTAATAGTCCAAATAAAGAAATAGTATCCCCTCAAGGTGATGATGGCCTCCCATTATGAGCAGATAACGCTGACTTCGTGGATCAGCGGGTCCGAGGAGTCTCCAACGCAGCGTGGTTGGCCGAAAAGGCCATTGCGGACAATACTTGAGAAACTTGAGCCTCCGTGGGTCTGGTCGGATGCGAGAGGGCTCCGAATACCCCCGCAGGTAAAACACCCTTCTGCATTATCTACACGTTAGGCCTGGGATCTCAGCGGGCCGTGCCTGGCGAGCCGCGGGTGTGGCCTGTCACGAGACGGAGAGCTGCACACTGCCGTCCCGGACCACTCCACGCCGCCTTTTCTATTCGGCTTCCTAGCGCGACCTCAAGCGGGCAGCCGCGTCCGCGCGGCGTCACGTGGAGCCGTGTCTCTACGTGACGCAGAACCAGCTGGGGAGCAGGGCGGGCCTGGAGCTGCATCGCGTATACGGCGCGTGCCGCGGCGCAGAATACGGCGCTCACGGTGACGCTCCAGAGCCAGGGTGGGGCCGGCGGCGGCGCTCGCTCCCGCTCCCGGGCCTGACTCCCCGGCCACCCCATCCACCCCGGCGGCCCGGCAGCGCGCCGGGTGCTCCGGGAGCGGAGGTGAGTGGGGGCCGTCAGCCTTTCGTCCACCCGGAGCTCCATTGTGGCCTCCAATCGCGTCTCGCTCCGAGGCAGAATGGAGAGGAGAAAGGCTGGGCTCGTGCCACGCGCCTCGCTCCACCCGGAACGCGCCCTCGACATCCGCGCGCGTGCCGCTGATGCCCGGGCTTGTCAGGGAGAGGACTCGCTCCTCTCCTGGAGATTCAGTCTTTCCAGAATTTATCCCCCCCGCTCACGATCTGCGTGGTGGAACCTACCCCCCTCATTCAGATGTACGGAAGTTCTAGAATAGATCAATCGGAAGTGCGGGTGTGCTGAGACTCGGTGGGGCCAGGAATCCAAAAGAAAGACGACTATGCCCAGTTTCGGACACACTGACCTCTGAAAGCCCGAAGCCCTGGTGGTAACCCCCAGGATTATCTTCACAGTGAATGGATTTTGTCCAGGCCATTCTGTACATCCCCAGAGTTGAAACTAACTTGACTTAAGGGAAACATTTT